GCACTGCACAGCACAGAGCTGAGTGTAATCGGGGACATGAGTGGAGGGAAAGGAAATACCACCCGCCCATCCCCCCTGCTACACAGTCTCATAGGGAAATGTGCACAACTGAGGCTGTCAATCACCTGCTGTGTGCTTGGGGGGCCGGGCCACCTTCTAGGATTGTCTGGTGTCAGCATAGAAGAGGAGGATTTGGGCTGCTTTATGCAAACCCATTACAAAGCAGGTAAGTATAACATGTTTGTAAAGCTACATTTTATTAATCATTACAAACACTTAAAGTGGATCATCACCCAAAAAGGGAAGTTCTGCTTTTCCATCTCATCCCCCCCCCCCACTACCTTTGGACCCTTTTTTGTGGGGGGGGAGCGGGTACCTGGTTTTCTGGATCCACCGGAAGTTCTCCTTGTAATGATTATGTGCAATAGAGAAATGGATGCTGTATGTGACAGCCATCTTGTTAAGGTCTCAGCCATTTTAGTTTCACGAGCAGTGTTCCTATTCTTCACCTCTACCCCTTTGCAAACTATGGAATTTGTAGCTGTAACTTGTAATGAACTTCAAAAGAGCTTCTTATCTTAATTAAAACACAAATAGATGCCAGCTCCAGAGCTGTAAACCACTAATTAGTCTTGGCAGAATGTCAGTTTTTCAGGAACCATGAAAACCACTTTCCTCTATCATCTAACTCTGTCCAGCCGTCACACATGACCTGTTAGGCCATTGGAGCTCTAGGAATGCAGAGCGTGCCATAAAACGTCTATTACACATGTAAACATTCCACATGGGGTTCAACCGGAACTGGGCACATTAATATTAGGTATATATTTGAATGGGGAATATCATACCGAACAACTCAAGGTCATACATGACTGTGTTAGCACATAGGAAAGGGGAGAAAGCAGTCTCTTCTCTCCTGGGTGAGAAAAAACAAAAAAAAAAAAACAAAAAAAACAAAAAAAAAAAAAAACAAAAAAAAAAAAAAAAAAAAAAAAAAAAAAAAAAAAAAAAAACACAAAGAAAGGTACGCTGTGTTTAGTATCCCTGGGTTTGAAATATAATTCTGAATATCTGCCAGTTGTTAGAATACTACCTGTACATACTGGAAGTTATTAATATTAGTATGAAACTGTAGTTGGGACCTGGTCACAAATTTGGTGACCTCCTAGCACCCATTCCTCTAAACCAGATGACTGGTCAGTTGTTCTCAGGTGACATACCTTTGATATCATAGAAAAGGACTGACATGCCTGGTGAGGGGAGCTCTTGTTTAACATCAATCAAGAAACATCTTAACGGACTTGAGAGCCAAGGGAACATTCTTGCTTGGACAATTGGACTCTGCTAAACCAGGACTTTGCAAGTATTCTGCCTTCTTAACGCCTTTCTTTTTATTTCTCTGTTGCTTTATTGTTCTCTTTATATCTTTGTTGCATCTTTTTCTGTAAATATTCTAATTGCACCATTTTGACCTTTTTAGTAATAAATCCTATTTTGAAAAGTGTTGAACTGTCTCTAAAGCTTTTAATGCAAACTAAAGAATCCCGGTCTCTGAAGAGTGCTCCTGTATGTAATAATCCTCTGCATATCCCAGTCTGCGAAGACAATGTGTGTTACAGATGCTTATACTAATATCATTGTGTTACTGCTAAGATTTGTGAATTTCCTCCTTCTCTGTAAAAAGGAGGGTGGTGGCAGTGTGAAGGGTTAATTGCGTAATTAACCTAACCCAGTAACAATCTCTCTCAGGCTGCTGACACCTAGATTGTGGTCCCGCGAGCTGGAAAATCTTTGTGCGGGGCACAGCTGAGAGTTGCAATGTTATGCAAGTGACAGCATGGTGCGAGATCGGCTGGTCCTTCGGTCACGAATTGGTGAGAAGGGCGGGGATTGGGCGCCGCGTTCCGTCACAGCAACACAAAAACAGATCCCCGCCAATGACAATAGATCTCCCATTAGCCAGCTATCCTCCTGTACTCCCCCACACCCCTTGCCATTACATACATTCATGCATGCGTTCCTCCGCATTCCTGCTGAAAAAAGCCGTATATGAATATGTCTGTTTGTATGTATGTATGTACTGTGTATAATTTGTTTTCTTTTCCCTGCTTACCTGATGCAATGTTCTTCACAGAAAAGATACTCATGCATCCAGTGTAGTCCTGCTGAGATCCTATTGTCTGCATCTGATGCCATCTTCTCCTGAGGAGTAATAGGGAGGCTCTTCTGGGTTCAGTCACCTCCCAATGTCGTGCCACTGGGCCCATCTCTTCCTGCTTTGGTGAATGGAATTGAGTGTAGTTCTAGCGGTATTTACAGGTGACGTGATCCCTAGAGGCACTGGGGGCACCTAGGCAAATTACAGAAGGTGGGGGGTAGGTCGAGACCTTTTTTTTAGGAAAACTTTAGTAACAAAAACAAAGAGACCGATACCTGTGTAGTGCAGGAGGAGGCACGATAGAGGAGGAAAGTATTCTGAAAGGTTGAGGATCCTCTTTAAACCAAATAAAGTTGACTCTTAAATAAGATCATTCTAAATGTATCTTTATTGTCAAATTTTGGTATTACATTTGGAGAAGAAAGATTTACATCATGTTTTCCATCATGTTTCCAAGAAATTCACACAAGTTAAACATTTTGTTTTAATTTTGAGGCAATAAAAAACACGAATCATAGCATGAAAAACAAACACATAAAAAACAAAGAGCAATGTACTATTACAGAGATCATAAGAAGGTGAACGCTTCAAAGAAGTGCCAGAAAAATGTAAAATTGATGGTGTTTTGGAGTATGGTGGAGAGAAGTAAGGCCAAGAATGATTTTATCTGTCATTGGAAATGACTGGGCAATATTTATTTGATCTCACAGAGGCTCTTAGAGTTGTAAGTCCCCTGGGGTCATTCACAGCCGTTCATAGTTTGTCAAAATATATGGAAAGTTCATACATTTCTATCCCAATTCTACAGTGAGAGATTTTTTTGGATGGGCTTAAATCGGAACCACTTTCCTCTCAATACAAGTCAATGGAATTGCAAGAGCAGCTTAGGTAGTGAAGGTCAAGAAGGAGGCCAGAAGAACTTGTGAAGGAACTGAGGAGCATCTTATACTGATCTCAAATTCAAGCCAAATGCATCTCAAATCCCAATCTCCACAAACCCAGGACTCGTATATCTGGGCTTTTGTTTGCATTCAAAGTACTTTTTTACTTTATTCCCAAAGCAAATTACAAAGCCAACTTCAAGGAATTTGTTGCAGCACACAAGCAGTTGGATGCACTTCCAAACCAATTGATTTAACAGCTTGGGCAACTGAAATGCAAATCAGAACAATTCAATTGTGCACCAAAGCATCTCAGAACTTAAAAGAGACCCTGTCACCACTCCAAACCAACCAGGATAACCATAGCAAGTAAATGCGCTCACATAACCATCATTTAGGCCGCCTTTTATTATTTGGGTGAAATATTTTTTTTAATTCCTGGTAATGATGAAAGCTCTGTGTACAAAGAGATGTAACTGCTTCCCTTTCCAAGCTTGGCATCAATCAAATATGCACAGCCAAGCTGGCTGTGCACTTCTGACACCTTTCCAGATACAGATTCTCCACAGTTCAAATAGCTTATGGGCCTTGATGAAGGGAGGTCCTATAGAACCCCCAAAACACACTGGCTGTTCTGAGCAAAAACTTTTTTTTTCTGGGTTTTAAACATAGTGTGTTTCCTTTCTAATTATATTCTCTCAAAATAATGCCACAAGGGCACAACAAAAACATTTTATACCCAAATTGGACATATAACCCTCAAAAAGGATCCACCACTCTTTTCACTCTTTTCTTTTTAACTATCAAGTCAACACCTTGGCAGCATCTGAGAAAGTCTTGCATGATCCACAAAGATTGTCAGTTCTATTTGGACTGTAATCATTTCTGCTAACATTTGCTTACATCGCAGATGTACTCTCTTGGAGTGCAAGATCTGCCTGCTTTCTAGCAATAGAGGACACCAGGTAGCAATAGATGCCTGCCTCCTAGCAACAGAGGATGCTAGGTCCCTAGCAATGGGGGATGTTAGGTTACAATAGCCGCATGCGTCCTAACCACAGAAGACACTAGGCACATTAGGTTCCTGCGTCCTAGCAATGGAGGGTGCTAGGTCACACTAGCCACCTGCGTGTTGGCAATCAAGGGCACTATATGTCCATAGCCACCTGCTTCCTAGCAATGAAGGCGGCTAAGCGTCAATTGTCACCTACATCCTTACAAGGATGGAAGATATGTAGCAACAGCCGCCAGTGTACTAGCAACTAATGGGCTGCAATGTCACTTTACACTTGTAGGTATATGAAGGTTGCTTAAATGTTACATGCATACAAAGCACAGGCTCTTGCTACCAGCTTTTGCCACTGCGTACTAGTAGCCGTATTTTTACATGGCCATGTGCATGTACCTTTCTGGTACATTTTACTTGCTATGTTATGTGGCTTGGTATAGGATGGTGACAAGGTCTCCTTAACTCCTGGGGCCCTCCTACACAAGACCTTAGTGAAATCACAGGAACATGGGAAGAGAATGAAAGTCTAGAATACGTGTCAAAAGTATGCAAAGAAAAGCAAAATGAGCAGCTTTATAACCAGAACTATTATCAGAAAATTCACTTTACCTATCTAGGAGTTACTAGTATGTCAATGTGTCAACAGGAATCTCTGTCTACTAAACCAGTGATTCTCAACCTCTTTTGAGACCAGGGCTCGGCAAATTCTTCCAAAACTCCCATGCCCCAACAGTAAAGGATAAAGTTGATACACGCACTGTAAAATTATGTGAATGAAAAACATTTATTAAAATGCCAGGATACTTTGGATGTGGCTGGGTGTCACTGAGGGGGGGAGGGTTGTGGTTAGGGGACTCTGCAACAGAATTTTTGGCTCTGTAGGGGATCAGGTTTCTGGAGGGGACTGGGGAGCACTGTGGGAGGTTGAAGGGGCATGGTGGGACACTTTTGGGGCACCATGGAGGGCTAGAAGCTCTGCAGCAGGTTGGGGGCCACTGTTGGAGTCTAAATAGCACTGTGGAAGGTTGGGGGCTCTTGTGAGCCTGAAGGCTCTCAGGGAGCCTGGGGGCACTGTGGTTCATTCCGAAAGCTTGGGAGGTACTATGGATGGCACTATGGATGGCTGGAGGCTCTGCAGCAGGCTATAGGGATTTCAGGGGGCTCTGGTTCAATATAGAAGGTTGGGAGGCACTATGGATGGCTGGAGGCTCTGCAGCAGGCTATAGGGTTTTCAGGGGGCCTGGGGGCTCTGTAGAAGGTTGGGGGGCACTATGGAGGGCAGAGGCTCTGCAGCAGACTGGGGGGCTCTGTGGAGCTGGAGGGCTCTCAGGAAGCCTAGATGTTTTGGGGACACTGGGAGCTGAGAGGCATTACGGGAGGTTAAGGGATGTGCAGGTGGCTGGAGGCCTGGGAGAGGGAAGGCCACAGCCTGGCAGTGGGACATGGCCCGGTGGTTGAGAACCACTGTACTACACTAGTCCAGCAGCTTTGTACGTAGTGCATACACCGTCCTCTCCTGGTGTAGTTTGTACTGTACAGGTGTAAAGGACAACATAGAAAACTAGACTGTAAATACAAATAGCAGTGCCGAAGATTTCCAATCATGACAAACACTTGCATGGCTCTCATGTGAGCACTTGTCATCCCTTCTACAAAAATACTACGCTGAAACCTTTCATTTCTACAGGAACGCACAAAGTGCAGTCTGATCCGGCGTATCTAGCACACCATGATGCTAACGGGGATAGAAAATGAAATCTGCGTACACAAATACCGCATAAAAAATATTTTACAATTTTTACAAACCGGACCAGACCAGGCGATGCGTGACATCACACAGTACGTAGACAAATTGCTGGTGTACATAAATGCAGCCTATAGAGGCAACTAAGATCACCCCCACGATGCTCAACACTCCCATTACATTGCTTTGGTGTATGAACCGATCCCTGGACCAGTAATGTTGTTTGAAGAGGTCCTGTCACCAGTACAAAACAAATTGCAGATAATCAAAAGAATAATTATTTTAAATGCTTACTTGCAGCATTTTTTCCTTTCCTTAAAGTGTTACTAAACCCATAACAGTAAAACCTGTCTGTGTATGCAGTAAAGAATGCTTGTTATACTCATTGTGGAACCTAAGGGGTCAATCCTCTGCATTGAGTAAATAGGCTGTGTGATCTTGTCTTCTCTGATCCTCCCCTTCTACTGTCTCCAATCCATCTGCCATGGTACAGAGCAGCAGTGGCAAGTCTACACATGCTCAGTGTAGTGTGTATTGCTTGAGAGGTTTTTTTTTTTTTTTTTTGCTTTGGGATGGTGCATGTGATCAACACAGGGCCAATCAGTATTGTCTAGACAGATGTCAGGGGTCATGCAGCCTCATTGGACAGTCAGAGTAGAATAAAAACTCCTCCTACAAGCTTTAACATGTGCTCGGTCAGACACTGATAGAACTCACAAGACTGCTATATACTGCTGATGAGAAATGGTATTTAGTAGTTTTTTTTATTTACTAAAGTAAGTGGATTTCCATGTTCTGTGCACTGTGGGAGACAAGATATAGTGAATGGCAGGGTCCTGGGTTTAGTAACACTGAATTTTTTGTTCAATTGCAATGTGATTTGAACTTACTAGGAAATGTGACTACCCTGCCAAGCACAGTCCCCTTACACATCGTAGCCCTCTCCTCTTCTGGGAGTGTTTAATTACGATCTGTGCTGGTACAACTCCTGTGCCCCTTCCTCTCTACATAACCTTGTTTTTTGTACTGCCAGGAGGGGAGTGAAGGGGATTCTATAGAGAAACCTTTTTACTCAAGAGGAACGCTTGAAGTAAATTTCAGGCCTTGAGCAAACCCTTCTAAAATCAATTTGTTGGAGATCGTTGGGATAAATTCCCCTTATGCCATGGTGATCAGAATGCCTTCCATATAGACAGCTAAAAAGACCATTGTTGTCATGCAGTTGGCTCTGCTAACTGGCATAGGGTTCAGATTTCTGCAAGCACCATCAAATGGGAGGCCAAGCAGCCAAAGCTCCAGGGACCCCTAGCAAACTCTGGAGGAACCTTAGGGTTCCATGGACCCTGGTTGAGAAAGGATGCTTAAAGTGTGACTTGAGTGAGACTGCTGGGGCTGCTGACATCACATCAAAGATGGCGGAGTCCAGCAGCAGTATCAGACATCCGAAAAGCCCTGAGACTGCTGCTGTGGGTACCATCTTGGATGTGATGTCAGAAGCCCCAGCAGACTCGGAGCTCTCTGTTTAGTGACACCCTGTAGTATTCCCCTCCATTATGTAGGGAGGTCAGGAGTGGAGTGTAAGTAAGCATTTCCAATTCTTGATTTTTCTGTGCTTTTATCTGCAATTTTTTTTAGCTTGGTGACAGGGTCTTTTTAGGCCATGTTAGTAAAAGCTGACCATTGTAAACATGCCTGTCGATGTATCCGTAACTGCCACTTTGGATAAACCAGTTTGGCCTCTTGCAGGAAGTGCAAAAAATAATGAATCTAGTTTCAGGTCTTTGTCAAAGCATTTCCTGTCATAGGGTGACAACGCCCTGCCCCCATTAATCATTTGTTCTCCTGTGTTGTCACCCTGTCACATGGGATTTCAATGGAGATTATTAGAGAGCCCCACCATGCTCATTGCACAGGCATGTTCTGTTGTCACCATGCAACCATCACCACGGTGCATGTGAAAAGGCCGCAGGAGATCTGCAGCACTGAAATTTAACAAATGATGGAAGAAGAGGAAAACAAATATTTTTTTTTAAATAAGCAATTGTTTATGATACATATAGCAACTTAGGGGTTTGTTTATAAACAAAAAAAAAGTGATGTGTGAGTGCTTTAGTATTTGCACGGCCATTGTGAATACTGTGTCCTCTAATATGCTTAGATCATCAGCTTCAGCTAGTAACCATAATGAGGCATTTTCCTGAAATACCCCAGTCAGGACAATACCACATTATGGCCAATAGATGGCGCTGTTGATCATAAACATAGTACTGTAGACATATGGGAATTATTTTTGAAGGCTGTGTGAATTCTGAGACATACTACAGCCACACTACATGGTTAAACGCTTGTGAAAACCTTATGAGCTTCTTGGGGATCCCATTCCAAAACCATGGCCATTAAAGTGGTTTAAAAGCTGAAGGTTTATTACCTTCAATCATTCTATGCATAAAGCTAAAAAAAAACCCTTCTGTGTGCAGCATCCCCTTAACCCCCCAATACTCACATAAGCCCCCTCTGGATCCAGTGATGTACTATCCCAGGACTCCTTGTTGGCTGAGACAGAAGCTGGAGCCATTGGCAATGAGAAGAGGGGGGGAGCAGGGCTGAGACATGGCTCTGTGTGTGAGTGAACACGGGGAACAATGGATGCCCCCATAGCAAGCTGCTTGTTGTGGGGGCACCCGAAAAGAGGGAGGCGCCAGGAGAGCTTGTGGGGAATGAAGAGGAGGATCCGAAGTGCTCTGTGCAAAACCACTGCACACAGCAGGTAGGTATAGACATGTTTGTTATTTTTTGTTACAAAAAAAAAAAACTTTTACAAAATAGAGATTATTGCCACAAAAGGGGACACCTCCATATTCTAGAACAGCCCTCAAAATGTCCACTCACCTGCTCGCATTGGGTGAGCGAAAATAAGGCGCCGGGACTAGGGGTGTGTGGGAGGGGTTCGGTGGGTTTCAATGTATGGGTTGTATGGGTTTCAATGAAGCAGCTGAAAGCCGCAGAAGGGAGAGGAGGAGATTCGGCTTCCAGCTGTTTGTTGAAAGCCATACAGGAGATTGCTGCTTGTCACCGCTGCACAGATCATATCTGATTGTTTTGTCTCTGTCCTAGCCCCTCCCCCTATCCACAGCACCAATAGGAGACTGGGTACTGAGGAGCACATGGGGGGGGGGGCAGGAAAGAAACGGAATGATGAGGTATGATCCTGCAGCAATCCCTGTATGGCTTTCAATGAAGCAGCTGGAAGCCGATTCTCCTCTCCCTCCTGCTGCTTTCAGCTGCTTCATTGAAAAGGAGGGAGGAGAGGGAGAGAGAGGCTGGATCTGCTCTGCCTCCCCCTGTGCCCGCCCACACTCCAATCCATGCAGCTTTAAAGGATGTGTGGGCAGGAAATTGAACACAGAGCAGCCAACAGCTCTGATGCTTCTGAATGAGCATGTGAGTCAGACCTATCTCGGTGCGTTCCACCCCTCCCTTCCTTCCTTTCACCCTTCCGGGGCAGGTTAGGGGTTGGGTGGGGCAACTGGTGGCAAGTAACTTAAGTCCTAGCTAGTAGCTTAGGACTTGAAATTTTGAGCCCTGTCCTAGAGAATAGATGTCAAACACAAGGCCCACGGGCCAAATCCAGCCCTCCAGGCCATTTCATGTGGCCCTACCACCTCTCCTGCAGGTACCCCTCTGTCTCTGCCCCCACCTTTTCTTAGCAGTCGGCAACAGAGAGGAGAATAGAACTTCGCTGCCAAATCCTGCACCTCTCAGTGCAACTTCAGCACCCCCTCATCTCTGCCTCCCGTGGTCTCAGCATTCAGCAGATTCTGGTAACTGACTCTACTCCTCCTCTGGTCCTCCTCCAGACCATGCACTTTCTGCTTTCCAGCTCTGCCCCCAAAGGGGGTGCACGGTGATGTTATGGAGAGTGTGGGATTCTTGACATCTGATGTAATGGGGGGTGGGGTGCTCTGGACATCTAGTCTTACAGATACAACCGGCCCTTTAAGGGCAACCATAATTCTGATATGGCCCGCGATGAAATGGAGTTCAACACCTCTGTTCTAGAGTGTCTAGATATTTTTGCCCATTCAATCAAAAGATTTTTGAGGTCAGGTACTGATGTTGGATGAGAAGACCTGGCTTGCCAATAGCGTTCCAATTAATTTCAAAGGTGTTCAGTAGGGTTTAGGGCAGGTACTGTTGGATGAAAACAGCCGATCCCAAAAGTGTTCACAGTAGGGTCAGGTCCTGATGTTGAATAGGAAGACCTGATCCTAAGGTGTTCAGTAGAGTTTAGGTCAGGTCCTGATGTTGGATGAGAAGGCCTGATACTAGAGGTGTTTAGTAGGGTTGAGGTCAGGTACTGTTGGTTGAAAACAGCTGATCCCAAAAGTGTTCACAGTAGGGTCAGGTACTGATGTTGAATAAGAAGACCTGATCCTAAGGTGTTCAGTAGAGTTTAGGTCAGGTCCTGATGTTGGATGAGAAGGCCTGATACTAGAGGTGTTTAGTAGGGTTGAAGTTAGTTCCTGATGTCAAATAGGAAGACCTGATCCCTAAGGTGTTCAGTAGGGTTGAGGTCAGGTCTTGATGTTGGATGAGAAGACCTGATCACAAA